TTTTATTCTGATCTTTTTGTGCATCTTCATTTTGATGCTTCTCTAACTTTCTCAAATATTTTCAAACAGACCTGAACCCACCTGTGTTGCTTGATTAGTGAGGAAAACTATACCTATTGTTGTGCAGAGTTTAATTTTTAAGTAAAATTGTTAGAATCAAGACAGTTTCATTCCATATATTTGCTTTTACGTTATAAATGAGGCAATTATTTATATGAGAGAGTACTGTGTATAAACATATTTGAATCAAAGCAGGTCTTCTTAATTAGCTTTATCAAATTATATAGAAAACATGATTGTCATATAGTTTTTCTTCCTGAAATTTAGGTCAAAGTTATTTTTATTTTATTTAAGGGCCTCATTTCTAAGAAAAATATTTTACCTTATATCCTTATTTTTTTTCTAATATACCTTTATTTCAAATAATGCTGAAGCAAGTTGCTTTTTGATGTCAGTCATTTTAGATGAGCAGCAGCTGGAAATAAGATTCATGGAGAAATTGGCTTTGGTTGCTGTCAGTTCAAGAAGAGTTATCGATCCCACCTTGGATGTTTTGTTCTATGGCAACTGAATCAAGCAGCCGGCTAAATGACAAATTGAATTTAATCACATAGGAAGCTAAGACGGAATGGGCAATTTTCTTGAATCAGAAACTTAACTAATCAGCTTTGTTACTCTTGGACTCTTTGGTTAATGAGTTTTAAATATAATCTCTTTAAGTCAGGAAGTAGAAGTGTTTGCTGTAGTCAGTTTGCAAATTGCTGATTTGTGCATCTTTTTTATTAGCAAAGCCAATTTTGCTGACTTAGATGTTGAGTCAATATTTCTTTCATTTAATAAGTATTTCTATCTGTTATTACTTTCTTTGTATACTGGGTAAAGGTTTTTACATTTACCTGTTTGTTCATATTTCTACCTGGTTTAATCTTTGTTTCTAAAATAAGCTGTCAGGTGTTGTAGAACCAAACATTGCCCTCCTCAAGTTGTTTTAGTGCCACAGGGCTTTCAAATGTCACAGATCACATCTATTTTAAATGAAATATCTAAATTTAGTTTGTTTTCCTTATAAGGTGATAGTTTAGAAGTGAGAATAAAAAGGGAATGAAATGGATTCCTTTTCTAGACTTTTACGTTACATCTTTTATTGTTGTATCTTCGCATGAAATTGGTTCAACTGGCAAATACATTTTCATTTGAACTAATTAACCTAATTTACCCCAGAATAATTGAAAAACTAATCAAACCATGATTATAAAAGTTTAGTTTCAAGGTTGTAAATAGTTGTTGCTTAATTTATTGCACTGCAGTTTCCATTCCACCTCGCTTTATACCAGCGAGGTTTGCTGGTGCCTATCTCCCAATATCTATGGGCAAGAGGCGGGGTACACGCTGGACAGGTCACCAGTCCATCACAGGGCAACACAGAGACAAACAGGACAAACAACCATTCACACACACACTCACACCTAAGGAGAATTTAGTGGAGCCAATTAACCTAACAGTCAGGTTTTTGGACTGTGGGAGGAAGCCTTAGTACCCGGAGAGAACCCACACATGCACAGGGAGAACATGCAAAGTCCATGCAGAAAGACCCCAGGAATCAAACCTGTAACCTTCTTGCTGCAAGGCTGCAGTGCTCCCTACTGCTCCACGGAGCAGCCCTCACTACAGTTGAGTTTTGTCA